TACCTATTGGAAAGCACTTTATTTTGGGACTTATATGTGGACATTTGTTGGTATTTGTTTTGCACTGGTGGGGGGGTGAGGGAGTATCGAAAAGATATTATTTGTATTGTGTTTACACTTTCAAGGGTGAGAGTGATACTTTTCGTAAGGGAAATTTAGAGTCTTTAATACATTTAAATCTAAAGGAAATTGGGCAGAAAATTGGAAGATAAATGTATAATGTATGGCCAGCCTAACACTCTATCTTAAATATAATTGCCTTCATTTTCCCACATTTGCTCTCAAATAAGAACCTGATTGACCTTAATATTTTGGTAATTGTGAGCAGGGATAGGTTTCAAGTTCACCATAGCCTTGGGCTCTGGGGATATGTGTTTGGGCTAAATCTTGAACTCTTTGCTAGTAAGATCACCAGTTTGTGCCAGAAATTTGAAACAACCCATAATGCACTGCTTAGCCTTTGTCTCTGGTCAGCTGAATCAAAGAGCCAAACACCTGAAGGTAAGGATTACCCAGCCCCATCACTATAAAATGGTGGGGTCACAGCAGCCATATTGTTTGTGTGTTTCGGAGCTATACAAGAGAGCTGATAATTTTCACTGGCGAGAAATAATGTACTATACTTGGATGGAAGTAATGGGCTACATTTCCTTTAGTATCCTGTTCCATATCTCTATGTACTGCTCCAAGGCATGCCCCAAGCCTGCAATTTAAAGAATGTGTACATTTTCACTGTCGCCCTTGAAACCCCCATGAAAAGGCCTTTCCATATGTTTTGTTTATAAATAGCTTGCCTATGACCGCTACAAATGGCCTTAGTTGAATAACAAAATCCCCCCCCCCCTCCACATAAGAGTTTAATAGGGTTTGCTGAATTTTAAGCAATTCATAAAGCAGCTCTTGAACTTAGGCCTGTTCTATCATCGCCAGCAGTAACATGTGAAGGCTATGACTCTGGGGTTGACCAAATATTTCAAATACTCTAAAGGTCTTCATCCTAAAAAGAGCACCCGCCATTTCAGAGTGGGGCACATAATTACAGTCCACCTAGCTCAGGAAAATGATAAAAAGGACTCCTATAAGACTTGGGCCGCTTGGACTATCTTCCGCAGGGCTTTTTTTCTCAGAGAATAGGTGCAGGAACTGCCCTCCTTTAAGTCACCATTTATCTCTGCCCCCTACCAACCTCCAAGCACCATCCCTTGGTTCCACCCCTAGGGCTCCTTTTTAGTAGTTTGTTTGCAATCAGTTAAGGATAACAAGAAAAGCAATAAAATAGATCTCTTGCAGCCAGCAACAATAGACTCCCCCCACTAACAACAGACTCTTCAGCAGCAATAGATCCTCCCACAACAATAGACCCCTCCAGTATCAATGGACCTCCCACAACAAAATACCACCCCAGTCAAAATAAATCCCCCCAGCAAAAAAATAAACCCCCCGCAGCACAACAGATCTCCCAGCAGCTAGAATCAATATACCCTCCAGTAGCCAGCATCAATAGATCTCTCCATCAACAGTAGATCCCTTCTAGCACCAGTTGAACCCCCAGCAACAACAGTACTCCCCGGAAACTATAGATCCCACACCAAAATAGAGTTCCCCTTCAGCAACAATAGATCCCCTAGCAACCAACATCAACGGACCCTCCAGCACACCCCAACAGCCTTGCCATTACATACATTCAGTACTGGAGGTGCCATAACTGCGTTCCTGCTGAAAAAAGCCCTGATCTTCCAGAACTCACAGTAATTATTTGACTGGTTATGATCCTCCCAAATCTACATTCTCCAGGACTCGCCATGACCCTCCAACGGGTTCTAATGGGTTCTGTTACAACCCAGAACGGCATGTCAGTATTTTCAATGTTACAATACTGTATGTTACACTTGTACTGTACATCAAGTACCCCCTTCCCCATTTACATTCTGTATCCACTTTTTGTCTTAAACAAATACTCAAACTCAGATTGAACAAAAAGAAAAAACAATGGTTTCTTTTAGACCAGAGTTCTTAGTTAAAAAGACACATAAAAAGCCTCTGTTCTCTGCAAGACAAGAGCCCATCTCACCTTTCCAGCAGCCTATGTCTCTTTCCTTCCCTCTTTTCCAGTACTGCAGCCTCTGCAGGTGTCCTTGGTGTCCAACAATTCTGGCAGTGTAGTTCCTTCCTAGTTCTTGGTTCCTTCCTCCGACTCTGGGTTCAGCACTGGGACAAAGGGAAGATAGGAAACACAAGGTGCTGGAGAGACGATTATAAGGACTCTCCTTTTGCAGGGAACTGGTGGTCCTATTTGGGAAGAGACCCAAAGGTGTCTCATTATTTATGTAGCCAGACTATGTGAAAATGTGTACCTTAGGAGAACCTAAATATAGACAGATAAATATGGGGAAGCCATAGCTGAATTGTTTTAATATTGAAAATTCTATGGATGTTATCCTGATCCAATGGCTTTACTGTTTACTGGGTCACTGGCCTGGCGTAAGTATGCAGGATTGATGTTTAGACTTTTTAGACCTCACTGGCTGCATGCTTTCTCTAGTGTGGTGGCTGCCAAGGTTGGCAGCCAAGAGCAGGATAATAGCGCTGGAACAATTCTCTCAGGCTCACATAAGCCAAAAAATAAGTTTTGTTAGTTGTAGCTAGTGGTGTAGAGATAGAACATCTGTCATGTTTCACTGTGGTCTTTGACCCCAATAAAGAGATTTGGAGAGGATCAGGAGTGGAAGTGACGGAAATCTCTTTAGTGGGGTTGCAGACTGCAACAGAACACTTCTTTTTCAGTAAATGGGGAAGGGTTGGAACCTCTATAAGATTTTTATCACTGTATGTGTCTTCCTCCCCTTGGCTTTTGTCCTGCTGTCACACCTACAGGGAGTGAGGTGAAATCCAACTGGGTCAAGGACACCAACAGAATTCTGACATAGGGTCCAACACTCCCCCCATTTAGTCCAAACCTCTTTTCTAGAATCACAGCCATAAAGTTTCTTTGATGATATCTCACTCTTGCTGCAGAGATGAGCAGGAATGTGCAGAAAATCTCCCCGACAGGGTCACAATGGCTGAAATTAATTTTCTGTTCTGTTCTAAATCCACCAGTGCAGAACCATAGGACCCATTTAAACTATGCATTGAATGGGCTAGCAGTACAACACAGTGCATGGCATGTGGGTTGTGGTGCACTGCAGTGTGGGTGCATTGTCTGCTACTATAATGTGCATTGGGGAGCCATTCTAAATAAATGGCACTGGAGTACCAAGATGTGAATAGGCCCTTAAACGCAGCCAATGACAGACAACTTCTAAAGGAATTTAATGGCCCAGATATAAAATCTAGAGGGGTCATTTATAACAGAGAGCAGGTATTCCTATCCAACATTATATTACACAGGGTTAAGCACACTGCTACCTACATTTTATGGCCCATAAAATATAAAATGTAAGCCCTGGGATGGAGCCTACGGTGCCCCATGGAGTTCTCTCTGCATGATTCAGAAGATGGAGTTTCATGACTGGTGGAAAGCTGGTCATGTGGCTTTGACAGATCATGTGACCCGGTTCCTGTCTTTTTTTAACACATACTTTTTATACACCAGTCATTTAGAGCGACCTGCCAGCTTCAGAGTCTCAAAACATGCAGTGGTCTAAGCACATCTATAAAGCATTTTGCTGTGCTATATACATTTTTACAGCTTTTTAAGAAAAAAAAAACAGTTGTTTGTCTGTGATAAGGCCATACCACTGCTTTTGGAAATGAGCCTCTGGATTCTGATTAGGCACTGATTAGTGATTGTTGGCAAATATGATTTTGTTGTCTACAAAATTCCACTAAAGTAAAAACTCTCAATTTTACTCAATAAGTTGGTTTTCTTGAAAGAAAAAACTTAGTTGTCAGTACTTATTCCTTGCAGCACTGGGGCATGTACGATGGGTACAATGGGTACGTGAGCATCAGAACTGGACCACAGAGCAATGGAAGAAGGTGGTCTGATCTGATGAATCACATTTTTTTTTACATCATGTGGACGGCTGGGTGCGTGTCGCTTACATGGAGAAGAGATGCCACCAGGATGCACTATGGGAAGAAGGCCGCTGGTGGAGGAAGTGTAATGCTTTGGGCAGTGTTCTGATGGCCTATTTCAGCAGGATAATCCACCTTACCACACCGCAAAAATGGTTTAAGAATGGTTTGAGGATCACAGCAAATGAGTTTGAGGCGTTGACTTGGTCTCTAAATTTTTCAAGTCTCAATCCATCCAGCATCTGTGAGATGTGCTGGAAAAACAAGTCAGATTCAGCTCTCAACTTACGTGACTTAAGGGATCTGCTACTGACAGTTTGGTGCCAGATACCATAGCACATTTTCAGAGGTCTATTGGCATCCATGCCTTGAGCAAAATACTAGGTGGGAGCAAAACACTAGGTGGTGATCATAAAGTTATGGCTGATTGGTGTTTAGAGCCCCACCAAAGCAATGGCTGCCAAAGGTCACCAGAAGTTGCATCCATCCAGACAGCTGCAACCTCTGTGACAGCTATGGAGTCTCTCAGGGCACGATTTTCATTTAGAGATTCCTTTTCATCAGTGCAGCGGCACAGGGACACCTACTTGATGGAGGATTAACTGTACTTGCCTACAGACAGCTAAAAAGATCATTATTATCAGAGGGAACTTACAGTATCTGAGAGTCAAAAATTGCTCTTTACTTAAGGAACCCCTAGCAACTTCTGGAGGAACCCTAGCATTCCACGGAACTCTGGTTGAAAAAGGCTGCTCTAGACATTTCTGTCCTACAAATGAGCATACATTTGGGGTCCAGACAAGCAGAGGAGATCAGCCTTCCCTGAGCAGGTACCTGACAAGATTGTCACCTTGTGGACAGGACAGTCTTTGTATACCAGTACAATATCTGTATATTTCTGCTTGTAGTTGTACGCTATTTTGCCAAAAGTATTGGGACAATCCTCCAAATCATTGGATTCAGGTGTTCCAACCACCTCCATGGCCACAGGTGTATAAAATCAAGCACCAAGGCATGCAGACTGCTTCTACAAACATTTGTGAAAGAATGGGTCGCTCTCAGGAGCTCAGTCAATTCAAGCGTGGTACCATGATAGATTGGCACCTGTGCAATAAGTCCATCCGTGACATTTCCTTGCTACTAAATATTCCAGGGTCAATTGTTAGTGGTATTATAACAAAGTGGAAGCAACTGAGAACAACTCAGCCACGAAGTGGTAGGCCATGTAAAATGACAGAGCGGGGTCAGCGCATGCTGAAGAGCACAGTGAGCAGGTCACCACCTGTCTGCAGAGTCAATAGCTAAAGATCTCCAAACTTAGTGTGGCCTTCAGATTAGCACAACAACAGTGTGTAGAGAGCTTCATGGGATGGGTTTCCATGGCCGAGCAGTTGCATCCAAGCCTTACATCACCAAGTGCAATCAATGCAAAGCATCAAATCAGTGGTGTAAAGCACGCCGCCACTGGACTCTAGAGCAGGAGAGGCGTGTTCTCTGGAATGATGAATCGTGCTTCTCTGTCTAGCAATCCAATGGACGTGTCTGGGTTTGACGGTTGCCAGGAGAACGGTACTTGCCTGACTGCATTGTGCCAAGTGTAAAGTTTGGTGGAGGGGGGATTATGGTGTGGGGTTGTTTTTCAGGGGTTAGGCTTGGCCCCTTAGTTCCAGTGAAGGGAACTCTTAAGGCATCAGCATACCAAGACATTTTGGACAATTTCATGCTCCGAACATTGTGGGAACAGTTTGAGGATGGCCCCTTCCTGTTCCAACATGACTGCGCACCAGTGCACAAAGCAAGGTCCATAAAGACATGGATGAGCGAGTTTGGGGTGGAGGAACTTGACTGGCCTGCACACAGTCCTAACCTCAACCCAATAGAAGACCTTTGGGATGAATTAGAGCAGAGACTACGAGCCAGAGCCAGACCTTCTTGTCTGCCATCAGTGCCTGACCTCACAAATACGCTTCTGGAAGAACGGTTGGACATTCCCATAGACACTCCTAAACCTTGTGGACAGCCTTCCCAGAAGAGTTGAAGCTGTTATAGCTGCAAAGGGCGAGCCAACTCAGTATTGAACCCTACGGACTAAGAATGGGATGCCATTAAAGTTCATGTGCGTGTAAAGGCAGGCGTCCCAGTACTTTTATCAATATAGTATATACGTTATTGAGATTTATGCCCATTTCATGTTGTTACATCTCCTTTCTAATGTTTTATTGCTAGTAACAGAGCATATAATTCCTGTCTATAACTTTATTTTCCCAGTATTACACTGTATTATACATGATATTTTCATATCACGTTTTACGATTTCACAGGAACTGTTGACCATGTATTACATTCCTACAACTGGCTTCACACAGTAAAGTTGATGTTGTGCACACTTCCTGTTCACTCTATATATATTTGAGTATATTATTGTGTATGGAATCCTGAGCGGCCTATAACATTAAGACATAGAAATGTTTAGCACATACAGTTCACTGCCTTCTCAACAAAATACTGTAGGTGTTAACCCAGTCACCAAAATCTCATATAGTCTTTAATATGCTAATGTCATTTTTTATATTTTTTTTAATATAAAGCTGCATCTCCCTCACCCAGTGTGAGCTTTGTTGGACCAAGATTGTAAGTGGCTGATACCAAGTCAAATTCAGGTACTTACATTATTGCATTTAAAGAAATACATTTAAAGAGTAACTCCACTTTTGTTAAGAAAGAAACATTCCCCTCTGGGTGATCAATGTAATTGCAGGGATTTTAACAAACTATATTGCATTCTTACCTTTTATTATTCTGAAGAAATATCTCTGTTTGTCTGTGTTCATGTGCTGAGTGAATCTGTATGGGAGTGGATTTTTAATTATCAAGGAAAATTGGGTATTTGGCGCACTCCAAGTCGGGGGTAAAATGGTGCATGCGGCAAACAATTGAAAATACATAGATTTGCATATATTCATGTATGTATGTACAAACATATAAATAATTAAATTATGAACAATGATTAATGCCCTAAAATGGCTGTCTCTCGGCCTGATGAAAGAGCATGCATGCTCCGAACATGCGCCAACCCCCACCATCACGTGACCGGAAGTGACATCTCGACTGCACTGAGGGAATCCTGGAATTCAAAGGACATGCTAGAAGCCACCAGCATCACCAACAGACTCCGGACATCCCCATCCACCTAGAGGCTCCAACTCAACTCCTTCACTACAAGTGGATGCTTTTTACATTACAAGCGCTATTCTTCCAATACTTTGTGAGTGGCCTGTATTACTATACATTTTATCCATTAAAAAGCTTTTATACTTCATTTAGAGGGCGCCACCTCTTTCTTCCTAATCTTTATAATTATCAATCAGCTGTGCACATGCAATCCAATGAAGAAAGTGGCAGGGTCTGCATCGCTTAAGACGTGTTTTTCCTTTGGAAGTAGCTCACCAAAAATGACATTTTTGCTGAAGGGGATGCCAAAAATATGACTTGTATCTTAGTGGAGACTTCTGCGACAATCAGTAAGCCAATCACACAAACAAGAAATTACATTTCTGGAGGGTGTTCTGTACACCACCAGGCAGCCATATTGCATTTCACAGAAAATTACAGCACTGTAGATTGAAAAGGAAATGTAATTTTTAAGAACATTCAATTACAATATGACTTGTACCAGGACAGGGGCGGACTGACATGACTGTAATCATGGGGCCCCCGGGCAATAGGGGATCATGGGGCCCCTGTGTCCTTGTCCAAACTCAAAAAAGCCTATGAAAAAGGTACCAGGGGCATCTCATGGGGCCCCCTACTTACCCCGGGCCCTCGGGCAGTGACCGAGTTTCCAAATGGTCAGTCCGCCCCTGTACCAGGATTATATACACTATATTATTCTTTTTTTATTTTCTATTTTTTCCCTACAATAGTGCAGTTACCCTATAATGATGCATTCATAAGTAAAGAGCTGCCTTTTATATCTGCCTACTTTTCAGTTTTTATAGCAAGATGCCAGACAAAATAACAGGTTAAATATAAATAGATAATTAAAAAATAATCTATAAAACCAGCTTTTGATGTGGTATTCACCATTCAACTCAGAAACTTCTCCATGCAGCACATTTTTTCTGCCACTAGATGTCCTCAGTCTGAGGGCCACCAACATTCAGCCCACTTCCTCTGAGCCCAGATCATCATGGGCCCACCCCAGACTGTGACTGAATAGTAAAAGGAGAGGCAGCACAGTGATGAGCTCATCTCTCTGTTACTTTGCGTTCTCCTCCTATCAGCATGCTTCTTTTCAGCACATGAACTGATTGGCTCCTTGTGCTGCTTCTCCCTCTCAAATTTCAGCCCTGCAGTACATGGACTTGAAAATGCTAATACCAGATCAAATTCACTTACTTACACTGCTTGCTTTTAAAGTATATATTTAATGATGTAATAGTGATTACACATAAGTGAACCTCCCATGCCAGAGATTTTGGAGCTTCTTTTTTACACTGCAGTGCCCAAGGCTGGACCCCCATAATCTAGATGTGTCCTTACAATGATTTGTATGGGGGAAACATTGTGTAAATGATCCTCATTGCATTCATATCCTTGGGAATGAACAAAAGCAGATTGCCACATGGAAAAACTTTTTTTTTTTCTTCGTAAGCAATAAACATAAGGGATTGCATAATTATTGCAATCTAACTGTGCAACTTGAAGTCTGCTTTCAAATGCTGTATAGTTTTTTCTCAAAAAACTATAACTGTCTGGAAAATTACTGGGAGGTCTTAAGCAGATTGTTCGTATAATTACTAGATTCGTTCTGATTGCTATAATAGGCCTATAATTATGAGTTTTCGACACAGCTTACCAAACATTTATGTTGTTTCAATGGCACCAAAGTGATCAGTGTTGTGGTTGCGTTAGGAAAGGTGTTTATGGGTTTTCTCTCTCTACCGCTGAACGTAATACCCTACTGAACAAAACACAAAAAATCCATTATCCTAAACGTCTCTTTCCCTCATGGTAAGAGATTGACTTCTTTTTTAAAGGCTTATTTTTCCTAGGAATTAAAGTGAACCTGACTTGACATTGTAACTGTCCTGTCCAAGCACACAACATAGGAGCACAAGATGCTTCAGAGGGCCTTCATCATAACCAGTAGGGTCTTGGATGGTAAGTTTGCAGTTACTAATTGTCAAGCCCCACCCCTTTATTATTCACTGGGTCCCAGCTCCTCAAAAATTGTATTTCATTTTCAGCATTAGAAACAAATTCAAGGGGTTGCCAGGAGATTCTCAAAGCATATCTTTGAGAACTGCAAGTAAAAAAGAGCCCCCAAATATCCCTGGCCTCTAATCTGTCTTTATCGGTTAAAGCAATACCAAAGGCTGCTTTTTTTGTTAAAATAAAAGAGGTTATACTTACCTGCTCTGTGAAACATTATTGCAAAGAAAGATCCCCTACCTTCTCTTCTTGAAGTTCCCCATTGGCGCTGTCCACTCCTTCCTCCTGTGGGTGTCACCTTAACAAGCAGGGTGCTTCCAAGCCGTGCGGTGTGCATCCATAGACACACACAGTGCTGGTAAGCCACACCCCAGCTTCTGCCTCACAGGAGTTTGACTGACAGCGGCAGTAGCCTATGGCTCCGCTGCTCTTAGTGTCTCCTGTGAAAGCAGGAAGAGAGGGCTTCACTTGTCCAGCAAGTGGCAAAACTGCAGACTGAAGAATTACAATTCCATACTGTTTGGCACATTTGTCTCTGACAGATTACAACGTCAACATACTCTAATGAGGGATCCACACACAGCTCACTGGATCACTGAAGTCTGACAACCCAATCACTTGTCAGCTCTTGCAATCTGCCTTGAAGGACAGTCCTCCAATAAGCCTGAATAGGCACATTCCACCAATGGATGGTGTTACACTTACGTGTGGTTATTCCTTTATAATTATTAAATACAATCTGTGGCTAATTTAAAAACCACATCACATGGTCCAGTGGTGTTCTTTCAGGTGAGTAAGTAAGCTAAGGGTCCTTTTAAATATGAGTATGGGATGATAGATAAAAATTTTGTGTCAGTTAGAGGTCTCTCCACTGGCGTCTATTAGTGAAACTAGTAATATGGTAAGTTAGAAAACCTGTCCCGGTTACCATTGCTCTCTTCTTGTTCTCCGTACCACCCCTCTCCCCTTGGCATAGATACTACACTATTTGATCGAACGTATGTGGACACTCCTCCAAATATTGGAGTTCAGGTTTTTCAGTGAAGGGTACTGTTAATGC